GGTATCCCCTCCATATATAAGGGCCCGATCCGAAATTTTCTTCCTATTCGATTTCACTTCTCAGTGAGGTTACAGCTCTTGATATTGCGATCTTGTGTTCTGCATAGCCGACGTTTTCCAAAGTGCACATCCCGGACTTCAGAATCAGTTGTCTTTTTTCTGCTTTCTGGCATACGTATTTTCGTTAGTGCACTGTGCTCTGTGCTGTTCGTGAGATTCAAAGACTTGAGAAACGTTTCCCAAAAATCTACTTGTTTGTTGATTTCCCTGGCGTTTTGTGCTGCTGTTTACCATCCAGCAACCATGCCGGTGTTGAAGGAAGCCAAGTACAGAGTCCTGAACAAAGACGCGTTGGAGATTTTGGACATGGAACAGGTACGTTGTCTTAGACATTTTCTTACTTTTGTGTGTGTTTTGAATAATTTGTTTCACTTATTAAACTTTGAGTATTAAGCTAATAACGATATTAGAAAATGCGTTACAGTTCTTTGCTAATATATGCATAAAAAGTTGTTTGGAATTGACGACGCTTTTTGAACTTTTTGAAAGATGTAATAATTGCGTCAACATGAAGGACAAACTCTCTCTCTCTCTCTCTCTCTCTCTCTCTCTCTCTCTCTCTCTCTTTCTCTCTCTCTCTTTCTCTCTCTCTCTCTTTCTCTATCTCTCTATTTATCTCACTCTCTTCTTCCCCCTCTCTCTCTATCTCCCTCTCCTTCCCCTTCTCTTTCTCTCTCTCTCCCCCTCTCTCCCCCCTCTCTCTCCCCTCTCTATCTCCCACTCTCTCCCCCTCTCTTTCTTTCTCTATCTCGCTCTCCTTCTTTCTCTCCCTCTCTGTCCCTCTCTCTCCCTCCCTCTCTCTCTATATATATATCCCCTTCTCTTTCTTTCTCTCTCCCTCTCTCTTTCTCTCTCTCAACCTCCTCTCTCCCCCTCTCTTTCTCTCTCGCTCTATTTTTATTTGTTTTACAGGTGGGCAAAATAAACTAAATGTCGTTACTTAGAAAAACAATTTTTTTGCTAACATCATTTTTAAGAATACATTTTTGACGATAACTTCCTTCTTATCTAAAAAGCGAATGTTGTTTTCTTGTTTGTGACGATGTAGCCGGTGTCTCTCATCTTACACGACATGGTAAACTTTACAACAAAACAAAACAAACAACGCCCCTTGGATACTTAGGCACAATTTTCTTGTAAAGATGAATGATGCTTCTTAGTTGTTAAGCTGTGAGAAATCTACACAACATCATTTTACTCATCATGAGGGAAAACGAATCATTAAAAACAAACCCATATTCTTAATGTCGCTAGTGTTGAATAGTGTTTCAGTACACAGTTTTTGTGTGTGCAGATGGGTCATCAGGGAATGTCAGGTTTTTTTTTTATTGTTGGCGTTTTAATACAGCTGTGGACACAATTAAGATCTATTAGGAGGCGGGCTTCTGACCCTGCCTGCCACGACGAACCCAGGCTGAGAGGGATACAACATCCCATCCCAGCAGAAAGACCGAGATTCTCGATAAATATTCTTCTCACAAGGGAATTGAACTAGGATATCATGTGTGGGATAACTGCGCGGCTAACCGCTACACCATAGACATGTTAGGTATTGACGTTAAGAAATGTGGCTAGTTCATGAATTTGTATTTACATAGTATTTAGAAGTATTGATGTGTCTCTCTTATTTATCATGAAATGTAAACAAAGGCCCTTACTTTTATTTTTTTTATCTCGTTTATCTTTTTGTTTCATATACTCAAATCATTTTGTTCGTTCATCCATTTCATGTTTTATCTTGTTACAACTATAGCCGCATTGAGCTTCCATTCCTATCTCTAATCCTGCTTTCTCCTTTCTCTTCTATTTCAGATGGAACTTCTGGCCGACAGAGGCAACTGGGAGGTGATCGTAGCGGCGAGAGCTCGACAACCGAAGGTGAAAAGGGTTCTGAAGAAGTTCTTGTTGTTTGAGGATGATGACCATACCTCGAGGATGTGGAAATGGTCCTCCTTTAAACACGAGCTGTCCTTCTTGCAATCCCTGGAGCACCATAACATCGTCAGGGTGTTGGCTGCTTTTCAGTGCCCGTCCTATTTGGGTATTGCGATGGGGTATCATCCCACGGATCTTTCCCGTGGACTGCTTGACGTGACCTACTCCGAGGCGGAATCCTACACAAGTCAGCTCACGGACGTCATGTGCTACTTACACGGTCAGCGCATCATTCACGGAGATCTCAAGCTAGGGAACGTTCTCCTAGACAGAGCCGGCGTGGTCAAACTCTGTGACTTCGGTCACTCTCAGGTCATTCCCCAGGATACAGACAAGCCCAACGGGTGGGGAGGCACCAACGGTTATCTGCCACCAGAGTTATACGACAGCCAAGTTCACAACGCCTTCAAGATGGACAACTACTCCCTGGGCATCTTGCTGTGGGCTTTGTTCTTCGGGACTGCTCCTTGCGACAACATTGATTATCTGAACGAAGTGGACAACGGTTGGTTTCTCAAGCCACAACACACGCACTGTCTTCAGCGGCTTCTGACTCTAACCCCTACACTCCGAGCACACATTTGGGAGATTGCTGGGATTCTCAAGGACGAGGATACATCAGAACGTTGCGTGAGGAAGGGCTCTGTGTGTTCTCTGAGCTCCGAGAGTTCTTCGGACTCTGCTCAAGCGAACCAGTCATCTCCAGACAACGGTTCTTCTGTAACGGAACGTCCAGAGAAAGCGGCCGTGTGGAACCAGTTCCTTGCCCCACCACCCCCACACCCCCAGGCCACATCCTGCTACCTTCTTCCTCAAACGGCATATCCTGACAGTGGAGACGTCACAACCAGCCTGGCTCCGACTTGGCCGCCTCTTTACAAAGACCTTTGAAATGTACAACTCAGCAATTCTTGGACATTCTCTCCAACAACTTCCAGATGTTGGGTCAGTCTGAGCGGCCATCTCCTGGTAACGTTTTTCCTGACCGGAATTCTCCACAAGGCTCAGCTGGCTTCAACCAGGACATGCCTGTGTTCTCTGTCTCTTCACCATGGACCTCGGGCTTTGGTATATCAGACTAAGAGAGAATGAGAGAGAGAGAGAGAGAGAGAGAGAGAGAGAGAGAGAGAGAGAGAGAGAAAGAGGGAGGGGGGAGAAAGTGTGTGTGTATGTGCGTGTGTGTGAGAGAGAGAGAGACGAGAAAGTGTGTGTGTATGTGTCTGTGTGTGTGTGTGTGTATGAGTGTGTGTGTGTGTGTGTGTATGTGTGTGAGAGAGTGTGTATGTGTGTGGCTGCGAGAGGGGTGGGGGAAATGTATGTGTGTTCGAGAGAGAGACAGGCGTGTAGAAAAAAGTTTGTGTGTCTATGTGTGTGTATGGGTGAGAGAGAGAGATTGAGGGAGGGGGGAGAAAGAAAGTATGTGTGTGTGTGTGTGTATTAGAGCGCCTATGTGTGTGTGTGTGTGTGTGTGTGTGTGTGTGTGTGTGTGTGTGTGTGTGTGTGTGTGTGTGTGAGAAAGAGCATAAGAGAAAGAGAGACAGAGAGAGAGAGAGAGAGAGAGAGAGAGAGAGAGAGAGAGAGAGAGAGAGGGAGAGAGAGAAAGATACTGGAGGAGGGGAAGGCGTTGGAAGGGGGCGGACACAAAGACAGAGTGCATTGTGAGAGATGGTAGATAACAGGGTGTGGCTGCAAAAGTTTGTTCCAGTTTTTACGAGTTCGCATGTACATACAGGGAACGTTTTTATGCACATTTTGTACAGTTAAAGTGAAGAAATAAAGTTATTTAATTAACTGTCATACACGATATGTGTTCATTCGTTTACTTTTTTTGTAGCAAATAAACTCCTCTTTTCTAAAATAGACCTTCTGGTTCCAGAGTTCTGTGCATAAAACGTAATATATATTTGTATGGGCACCAACGCGTAAGTTCTTGCATAGGTGCAAATACGCTTTCCTGACTTAACGAGTTCATGTGTACATACAGGGAAGGCTTTTATGCAAATTTTGTACAGTTAAAGTGAAGAAATAAAGACATTTGAATTACTGCCATACACGATACGTGTTCATGCGTTTAATTGTGAATTTTTGTGTATAATATGTATATAACATATAATTTTTTGTGGAAGGGCACCAGCGCGTAAGTTCTTGTGTAGGTGCAAAAATACTTTCCTGATTTCACCAGCTCACATGTACATACGATGAACGATTTATGCACATTTTGTACTGCCAAAGATAACAAATAAAGTTGCTTAATTATTCTCGTCCATAAAATGATAATGTCACTATGGTCATTGGTTTAAATGTGGTTAAACTCTTCTTTTGTCAAATAATAATGTCCCTTACGATTTCACAGTTCTGTGTATGTATACTGTGTCTGTAAATGCATCAGTGTGTAAGTTCTTTAGTGTGTTTTGGAGATAGATAGATAGATAGATAGATAGATAGATAGATAGATATATAGATAGATAGATAGATAGATAGATAGATAGATAGATAGATAGATAGATAGATAGAGAGTGACAGACAAACAAACAGACTGATACAGTTACGGACACACAAACAGAGAGCATCGTAGAGATTGTAGATAGCAGGGTGTGGCTGCAAAGACGAGTTCCTGTTTTAACGAGTTTGTGTGTACATATACAGGGAAGGTTTTTTAAAAGAAAATTATGTATAGTAAAAGATAAGAAATAAAGTCACTTTTATTGCTATAAAATGCTATGTGTGTTTATTGGTTTCCCAGTTGCTTCTTTTTTATTTTTTGTAAATAAACTCCTCTTTTGTAAATACATAATATATTTTGATTGTATTGTTTGTTTATTTGTGTATGAGTGTGTGTATGTGTGTGTGTCTATCTATCTATCTATCTATCTATCTATCTATCTATCTATCTATCTATCTATCTATCTATCTATCTATCTATCTATCTATCTATCTATCTATCTATCTATCTATCTATCTATCTATCTATCTATCTATCTATCTATCTATCTATCTATCTATCTATCGCACACATACAGTGTTGGACTGTAGGTGTTCAGTCAGGGGACACTACACATACACTTGACTAGAGCTCTATGGAGAATCTTCTGTTGTTTCCCCTTTACTCTTGTCTGAACGGTGAGCAGCCATGTTGCGAAATTCGATAGTTGTAGGAATGAACCAACAAGTCTAATGGTCAAGACCCCAGCAAGTTCACTGAACCAACAAGTCTATTTAGTTTAGTTTTAGAAAGTGTTTTACGTCACTGGGAACACAATAAGGTCATTTTAGTACAGAAAATTAAAGGTGTTACAAGAGAGAAACAAACACAAAAAGGAGGTGAGATAAAGATGACATTATGTTTAATAGGAAAGAAGAAGCAATCCACACCAGAGCACCCGCCAACCACCCCACACCATCAGATCTGATAGTCAAGATCTCAGCAAGTTCACTGAGATTGACTCCACAGCTTGTGTTTCGTGTACACGAGGAGGTCTTTGTTTACCATTGTTGTTTTAGACACAACAACAACAACATCAACAACAACAACAACAACAACAACAACAACATCATCATCATTATAAAAAACAACAGCAGCAACAACAACAACAACAACAACAACAACAACAACAACAACAACAACAACAACATCAAAAACAATGTGTTTGATCTTAGAGTGAGAATCACAAACTGAAAATCTAAAATTTTCACTGATTTTTTAAATTTAGCACTTTTATCCGAAATAATTTTGCGTGGATTGTAAAACTAAAGTGATTTTTAAATTATTTTCCTGACGAATCGACCTAGTTTCACCAACATATATTGCATTAACCCCCCAAAACCTACTCCAGTAACACAGCTCTATGATTTCTGTTGGTAACAGGAGAGAACATTTTCCTAGGAAGTTTGACGCAAAAGTTGACGTTACGCTCTAATGTGACGGAATTAAGCCAAGAAATTTCACATTTATGTCTATAGATGGTTGATTCATTTCATCAACATTATTTCAAATGAGAATCTAAAATTTGACATTTTTTAAAAAGGACTATACTTGGAGGGAACTTAATTTACAGTTTAAAAATGAATAATAACGCTGACTTGGTGTTACGGAAGGAACAGTGTGTCAAATCTTAATTTGGTATGTCTAATAATAGGCTTATAGTTTACAATCGAAATGGTCCAAGACGACCACCTAATGTTGTGAAAAAATTGCCATCTTAGAGGACAGGTGGCTGTCATACACAGTGTTATTATAATGTCACCCCTCCCTACCCCCAAAGTAAAGAAAACAAAAACCAAAAAACCAAAACAAAACACAAAAAACCTCAACGAAAACAACAACAACAACAACGACGAACAAACAAATAAAACCCGAAAAAAAGAAAAGAGAACCAACCCCCGCCCCCCCTTCCCGAGGGTGAAATGGGAAACAGTCGTTTTTACAGGTACACAGGTGGCTGTTAGATCAGGTCCGGCTATGTTTCTTAAAATGTCGTGAAAAAAAAGTATTTAATTCCGGACAGAGAGCTAAAACAATTTTGTTATCTTAGTTCATTTTCCACACATTCAGATTGCTTCCACTTTTACTTGTTATAGATAGGGCCTACAGTTTAAAAAAAAAAAAAAGTCTTTTCCCTCCTTTTTCTTTGTATTCTTTCATCTGTTTGTTGCAAGTGTCATTGGGCTTTCACTAAAACAAAAACAAAAAAATGTAGGCTATATGTGAGGCAGCATGGTGGAATAAGGCTCTCGTCAATATTTGGGCATGTACAGTTATTTGTATCATCTTACAGTTTGTTCATTGTCTTTATTTGGGTGAAAAAAATATCCATTTATCTTGAATACAAGTCGTAATATTTGGGAATGAAGGGGGTGGGGGTCACCTGTTTTCAGAGGTAAAATTAGTGAGAAAATGGCCGCCAAAGATTAGTTATTTCCTTAGCTTAAGATTCCGTGGTAGCTGAAAATTTACATTTTTTGTGCCTTTAATCAACGTTTTCAGAAAAAGCCACACAGAAATGAGTTCTTTAATAGGCATGAAAGATGTTGAGCTAAAAAACAAAAATTTGATAAAAATTCACAAACCTGCGGAAAAATGCAGGTTTCTTCACTTGATTATTTTGACGAGAGCCTAATTCCACCAGGCTGCCTCACATAAGTACATCTTTCTTCCTGCACATTCCGAGCTTGTCCACAGAAACGGTTTCTTTTTAAGGGAGATAAAAGTGATGATCGAGCCCACCCCACCCCGGAAAAAAATCTTTTTAAAATTCCTAAACGGGGGGGGGAGGGGGGGGATTAATGTTGGTATCTTTCATTTAACTATTTTGACGAGTATAACATAGATAAAAAATAAAATATAACAGTTTTCAAACTATGTGGGAGGGGCACATGATGATCATGACTGTAAGTCGCATCGATATCGATGGTGATTTAACATTCTCACCGCCTGTTCATTTCACGTGACACCCTTTCGAGACACCCCAATAAGGACATTGAAAAAACAACAACATACAAAACACCACCAGCACCAGCACCACCAACTCCACAACCAAAACCACTACCACTACCGGCAACAATAACAACAGCAACAACAACAGCAACAACAGCAACAAACAAACAAAGGTACAAACAAACAAACAAATTTGGATAATACCATTAGATTGACATTTAAAAAGGTAGACCTCAGAAACTGTCAAAAAATCACTGGAACAAAGGAACACATCGCATGCGGCATACGTGAGAGACAAAGAAAAGGCTGTGAGGAAGAACAAGGAAGTAATGCTGCATAATCATACCCTCGGGACACGTTGGATCATACCCGAAAGCAGAGTTAGTAATAAAAACTGTATTACGCAGCTTCTCATTGGAAGTTCTAACTGACTTAAAAATAGGCTTACCCCACTCAT